ACAATACAAATTTATTCTTATATATTTCTATATTCTTATATATTCCTATATATTCTTATCGCGCCCTCTCCTTTCCGCAGACGAGCGTTCAAACCATCTCCTTAAATCTTTTAGCCATGAGTTCGGGCGTCTTCCTACTGATCTTTTCCCTTGCACTTTGCCTTTATTACGAGGCGCAGTATTTCGTAACTATCACCTCTCATCACATGACCCAGGTATTGCATTTTTCTTTCCTTGATGGTGTTCAGTATCTCTTTTTGTTTCTGCATGCGCTGGAGTACTTCAACGTTGGTGATCCTTTGTACCCATGAGATTCGCAGCATCTGTCTGTACACATACATTTCGAAGGCTTCTATTCTCTTTTCGGTCTGTGAATTTAGTGTCCAGCTCTCACATCCATAGAGTAACACAAAGAAGATGTAGCATCTGGCCATTAGAGTTCTGAGTTCCGCACTGAGGTCTCGATTATTATGTTAGTCTGTATCAAATCCTGCGAGCTAAATTAGAAGCACTTCCTGACGTTCGATTGGGCTCAAATATGCTCTACTTGCATGTCTTCGGTAACAATGCAATATTATAGTACCATGTAGTTGGTCTTAAGATGGAGTCGGAAGGTAGTTATAAATTCCTAAACTAAACAAAATAAACCCAACGTTTTTAGAGTCATTTGGATTGCCGCTGGGCAAGCTTAACTTGCTCATAGTCGAATAAAATCTCTAGAAGAATTCCTCATCGAAGAACAGAAAAATACCTTGAAATAATCATGCATTACTAGAAATGTGTCCATTAAGAGGAAACTAAAATGTTGAAAATAAAATTATTAATTAAAAGAATCCCCTTTTAAAAACTTTTATTTAAATGCTCTACAAAGAAGAAAAAAGTGTATTTTCTTCTTTTTAGAGGACTAAAAATTATATACATATATATATATATATATATATATATATATATATATATATATATATATATATATATATATATATATATATATATATATATATATATATATATATATATATATATATATATATATATAAATTCCGGTCAGAACGTTCTACGACGTTGTCCGATGCCTAACTTCCACCCTGTTCAATTTTCCCATTGATCTTCGGTCAGATTTTTCTCGCTCATCGACCTTCTTATTCCTTCCATCAATGTTTTCTTGGGACGTCCTCTCTTTCGTTTACCAGGTGGTATCCAATGAATGACTTGTTTTGGAATTCTTTCATTGTGCATTCTCTGAACGTGGCCGTACCATATTAACTGTTTTTGTTCTATATCATTTACTATTGTTCCCTCTATTCCCATCTGTTGTCTAATGTCTTCATTTCTGATCTTATCCCTCCGGGAAATTCTCATTGCTCTTCCAATCGCGTCCATTTCTGTTGTCTCTAATTTCCTTTTATTCCTTTCAGCGAGTCGCCATGTTTCACATCCATAGAGTAATATGCTTTTAACTAGTGTCTCGTATATATTATATTTCCTGTTTTTTGTAATTTCAGTGCTCCTGGTTGTGGCGGTTCTTGATACTCAGGTCTGTTCTCTGACAACAATTTGGAATAATATTTCACCCATTCTTTGTTGGTTATTATTTCTATAGGGGCTGACTCCTGTTTTTCAGTTGTTGTTGTTTTTATAAATCTCCATACTTCCGTATTTATTCTTCCGCCTATATACGAATTAATTTCTTTGCATTTGTCATCCCACACTTTATTCTTTTCTTCTTTTACCATTCTCCTCACCTCGTTTTTCTTGTCATTATAAGTGCGCTTGTCTAGTTCAGATTTCGAATTTAGCCATTTCAAATACAGTATCTTTTTTTCCTCTACAAGTTTTTCAAGTATATCAGTCCACCACAACTTTCTGCTCTTTCGTCTCGCTTTTATTCCTAATGCTTCCTCTGCGGCTCCATGAATACTGTCAATTATATTATTATATGTTAGGTGAAAAGGCCTTTCCGAATCTTCTATAAGTTTTTCATCAAGCCTGTTCTGATAAAGATATTTGACGCTGTCATGCATTAGACTTTCTAAATTATATCTTACTGTGGTAACTGGCTTCGCTCTTCCTGTTTCCTCTTGATTGTTTTGTTTAATTTGATATGGTGGAAAGAGAATTTTTGATCTTAAAAGGTAATGATCTGAGTGGTGTCCGGTGCCCCTTAGGAGGGACTTAAATTAAAGCTTGTTTAAATCTCCATTTTCTATTTCTTTTAATTAATAATTTTATTTAGATTTCAAAACCTGATATATGGTTCAGCGGGGCGCAACTTTTCGCTAATTTAATCATCTTTGTATGTCTTTTGGATTTCGAGATCCTTGTGTGTGCATTATCTTTTTTATCCAAACCCAAAATACAAAATTAATCGTCTTTGAGAAAAAAAAGTAAAAAAAGCCTCTGGTGGGACCGAAACTTATCTACAACAACTAAAAAGAGACTTGGAAGAACATTGGTGGAGTCAGTTCTTTGCTATGGTTCAGAGCTGTGGACTCTGAGTGCAGACGCGAAGCGCAAAATCCAAGTTGTTGAAATGGACTACCTTAGAAGAAGTGCAGGTATATCTAGGATGGAAAAAAAGACAAACATCGAGGTCAGGCGTATCATGAATGCATCGGAGGAGACAGTACTGGATTGAATCGAAAAATCCAGCTTAAAATGGTTTGGACATGTTCTGCGTATGCCGGAGAACAGGTGGCCAAAAAGAGTTTATCAATGGGCTCCCCAGGGCAGAAGAAAGAGAGGTAGACCTAGAAAATCCTGGAACGGAACGGTTACGGAAGCAATGAAAGCTCGTAACCTAGAAGCTGATGACGCTCTAAATCGAGATGTGTGGCGTAGGGTAACGGGAAGGCAGCAATAGGCTGTAGTTGGAAATGAGTATTAAATACTTAAACCAAATCCCGTTTATATATATATATATATATATATATATATATATATATATATATATATATATATATATATATATATATATATATATATATATATATAGAAAAAAAAGTAAATTAAATTTTCTTACTGATCTTTTCTTATAAACAAAAACTTTGTGTGTTATGCATGACTAAGGAATTAAATTTTCCCAGTGGAACGTCAAAAACAAAACGGATCCGTTGACGTCTGGTAACGGGAGTCGGATTTAAGCGTTTGACGATGCATATCGGATAAAAGTCATCCGAAGCTATAGAAAACCCAAACAGGAAATAGTACATCTCACTTAGAGGCGTAAAACATATAAGGCGATTATTTCGTACGGTTTTCAGTTTCAGAATACCTTTAGTTTGTACAGTTATTCTATTGGTTTTAAGAAGATATAATTACATTATGTTTTTTTACTATTTAATATTGTTTGATTGTTGATTGACTATTTCGCTTCCTGTTCTCTCTAAATATTTTACAAGGTGTCTCATCAATAAATACAAGTATTTTAATTCCGACCCCAGAGACCCGTCCATGATTTGCACTTATTTAAAGCTTACCCTTGTACAGTCCTAATATTTAGGGTATTCACTTTTTAAAATGTAATATGACAACAACTCCCAATTTAAAAATGTGCCGTAAACTAAAGTTATTTCGAACATCATGCATATACCGTATGATCAAAAAAAAACGGTGTCTTTACCTTTAAACTATACCATTTAAAAACCATTTCTACTCAATACAAAAATAAATTACAGCCTTCTTAAGGCCAAGTGGTAGTAAGCGCCATTAAGCTTCTGGACCTTCCGCCTCTTCACATAGTGATCCAGGCGGAAGCAAGAATGGGACTTTACATTGATAAAAAAGATAGACTTGAACTAAAGTCGTCATCGTTCATAAAAAAAAAATTAGTGACAAGAGAATTTATTTTAGCGTAAAAGAAAATATTTTGCCTGAAGAAAAATTCTCTTAACTCAAGAAAACTTGTTCTCTTGAAAAATTCGAAAATTTCTCTTGAATCTAGTTTCATTCAACCAAGTGCAAGTTACTTTGTTTTAAGATAATAACAAAAATACGCTAGGAAGTACTTCATTCAAGAAACATGGCCATTTTTCCAATAGCTAAATACTCTTTTGATGAAAAATAATAACGACACGCAAAGATGATGACGAAGGACGGTATATACAATCAGTTGGCAGTCCGATAAGTCGTAGGAAAGCTAGGCTAGAACCGGAGGAACTATGCTCCCATCCTATCAAGGACCTGCATAAGCTAGTGCAGGGCACAGGGATAGGAGAATGGGTGCAGATATAGAAGGGGGACAAACACAATAGGCCTCAGAGGTCGCAGTGTTTCCGGCAGAGGACGGCCCCTTGTTATGGAAAAAAAAGCGCCATTAAAAAATAAAGAAGGGTACAAGCCAAGTAAATGACTTCGCCAAAATTATCCTCAATTGTCATTACCTAACCGTCTTTGACACCGTTTTTTTTTTCGATCGTATGGTAATCTGTAGTAGCAAATACGTATTAAATTTAAAGTTAATAGAAGTCCAAACGGAAAAAAAAATAAATATCGCCATTTTGCTGCGTAAAACAAATCCGGATACGATTTATAACTATTAAATATTTAAATTACTTGTACACGAAAAAATGTGATGATACCTACTTTAAACATATTTGTAATTCATTGTATGCAAAGCAGCTTGTCACCTGCGTATGTTCTATATAGGCGCCACTTACTATGAGTCACATAAGTAAAAAGTTAAACTTTTGAAACGTTTGTATCAGATAAAGTAAGTGGATTTTTTAAGTTTACTAAACAAATGAGTAAAAATTGAAGTGATTACTTTTCAATAAAAATGATGGGGCAAGACAATAATTAGTATCTAGATTAATTTAAAAGCTTTAGTTAACTATACGAAATGGTTTGAGAACACTATTCTATCTATTTTAGCAAAGCCTTAGTAAAGTTTAAAATCCGAATGATGTGGAAACCGCAAGACGATAAATCGGCGGACTGGTTCTGAATAAGCTGTGATTAAAACCAAACCTACTAAATTCCGGTCACGACAAAGAACCTATCACCGACAAACGTAATTAATCGCCGATACAATCTGCGACGTACTTACCGGAAACCTGCGATCCGCTTGTGCTTCCTGCGCTCTCTGGAATATTTCCTGCAAACAGAAGAAAAACAACGTGTAGGTAGGTGGAAACTGCATACGAAATATCGCACTTGCATATTATCTGCATATAAATGAACGTGTACGAGAGTTTAATACAATCGTTAATGTTGTTAAATAATAATAATATGCATGTGTCGATTATTTTTAATGGTATTGTTTTAATTAGATTTGTTTATTTTTTCTAAGCGACAAACAGAGATTACTAATGTGTCCATACAAATACAGATATGAATAAATATGTAAATACCAGACAGGATGATTCAAATTAATGCTAGGAAAATGGTAAATAAAAATACAGAATTGGTAGATAGGATCCAAAAAAACACTACTTAAAGTATATTTTTTATAGGCTTTGTGCATTCTCCGCCAGTGCTGCCACCACCGGAGAATACCGTAAACAGCCGATTAAACAAATACACCGGTTTAAATAGCGGGTACATGAAAAATGTGTTATAATATTATTTGAAAAGTATTAGTAAGTGCAATTCGTGAAAATTCTAAAAAATATAAATGTGAGTTTATTATAAGTTTTTTTCTTTTATTATAGTAATTGTTAGCATTCCCTAATTTCTGACTTTTACTTTAACATACAAGTGTATCTTATATCGTCCAGTATAACGTCCAGAGTTTTTAAAATGGCATATACGACGTTATTATAGTACTATCCTTGATTATGTATACAGGGTGTTTCAAAACAAATGCGAAAAACTTTAGGGGGTGATTCCTTGTTCAAAATAAAGGGTAGTTTGCTTTATAAACGTTGGGTCAAAAGTCAACCATTAGGGAGATATCGCGGTACAAGGATGGCGAAAAAATAATGTTTTTATTTTTTATCTTGAAAACGAAAAGAGATAGACTAATGAAATTTTATGGAAGCATTACTGTTATGAAAACACACTTTCAGGTAATTTTTTTACTTTTTTAAAATGAGTGGAAGGGGTTGAAATAAACTACCCCTATCATTCTTGTTAACGAAATTTAAAGAAAAATCTTATCAAACACATTCAAATGCTTTAATTTGGATAGTTTAGTTTGTTTAGAAACTTTTTTACTTCTTGTGTTTTTTTGATAAAACTCACCGATTAGAAATTAAAAAATAAAATGTAAAGCATTACATGTCAGGACAAAAAACATTTTTAGATTAAGAATCTAGTGATAATAACGATAATAATAATCATCTAGATAATAACGTATTGCAGTAGAGTAATGTCAAATAAAATAATATTAGGAACATCCTAAGAAGTAACAGCGGCCGACTAGATTTTTTCCTAAAAAAATTACAGCAGCCCACTAGATTCTATATCAGAAAATGTTTTTTGTCCTGACATGTAATGCTTTACATTTTATTTTTTAATTTCAAATCGGTGAGTTTTATCAAAAAAATACAAGAGATAAAAAAGTTTCTAAACAAACTAAACTATCCAAATTAATTTTTTTGCATGTATTTGATAAGATTTTTCTTTAAATTTCGTTAACAAGAATGATAGGGGTAGTTTATTTCAACCCCTTCCACTCATTTTAAAAAAGTAAAAAAATTACCTGAAAGTGTGTTTTCATAACAGTAATGCTTCCATAAAATTTCATTAGTCTATCTCTTTTCGTTTTCAAGATAAAAAATAAAAACATTATTTTTCCGCCATCCTTGTACCGCAATATCTCCCTAATGGTTGACTTTTGACCCAACGTTTATGAAGCAAACTATCCTTTATTTTGAACAAGGAATCACCCCCTGAAGTTTTTCGCATTTGTTTTGAAACACCCTGTATAAACATGGGTACTATTTTTTTCTGAAAAGTTGGATATATCAGTTACTTATTTAAAACTTTAAACTGTTACAATGTAATCTAAACTAATATTATTAAAACAGTATATTTTAACCAAAATACTCTGGATAATGAATATAATCTACGATCTAAATGGCAATATTATTGAGAATTCTAGACTCATTGCCAATGGAAATGTAAATTATTTGGAAATAGAATATTTATACTCCAATAAATTAAACATAGTTACGGATAATATAACCTGTCCGATATAATTGTAAGCAAAAAGTTATCTAGAGATGTATAAATATATCGATATATTAATATTTCGATACTAAATTCAGTTAACACAGTTTTATTAAAAATTACATCTTACATCATTACGCTCTAAAGCAACTGTAGAACAACGAATGATTAAATGATAGGCAAGACATAAAGAAGTCAGTAATATCAATATAAAAATTCAGTTTGATATATCGATATCCTGTTGGAAAAGAACGTCCCTAATTTCGTCTAAACTGTCAAATATCCGGGTTATTAACTTACTACACGGCCTGGCCGCGATCCAAGCGATATAAATCTCGGAACAGTGCAACCGCACATGTTTCTAATTCCTAATAATTTTAATTAAACATTAATGTCCTAGCGATATATTAAAGGTGATATATGAATATGTTTGTTCTTTCTGGATTTGTTTCTGGCAACATCGACATGTTGCGCAGACAATACAAAAAAAAAGACAGTAACCCCGTTTTGCACTCGATGTCGCATATAAATAATTATTATTCGCCAGTTTTAACCAATAACAACAGTTTTGATGTTTTTATTATGTATAAAATTTAGTGTTTACCTATCGTGTGATGTCGTTATTTTACAGCTACTCCAAACTTATTGGTGGCTAATACAACTCTCTGAGCACCGAATATTAATTATTTAACTGTGCTCTGGCTCTACACTTAATTTTCCTTCGATTTTTCCCCCACTTAAATTTAAGAAACACAAAACACACGTAATAATACAATTCAAAATAAAAAATATTTATAATTTTCCAGAACGCAGGTTTTTTGGTATAATTTGACACAAATTATAACCTATAATTTGACAAGTTCTAAAAATCTTAAGTCGAGTTCATACGCATCTGCTTCCGTGCGTCGTTACTACGCATCTACTTCCGTCACTCCAATAATATTAATATTTAATTAATATAAGGCAATAGTAGAAATAATGTCAAATCTCATGTAGAAAGTCTGTTAATGTCTACAAAAGCACATATTCAACAACTTTGTTATAAATTGGTATCTAATCTTATCAACATCTAATTATTTATCAACATTTATAGTGATCGTATCAGGATTAGAGACATCTTTATTTCTATAATAATTATAATGACTTGGCGCTCGTACGGCACCATAATTCTTCTTCTTTATGTACCGTCTCCATATCGGAGGTTGGCTATCATCATTGCTATTTTGACCTTGGAAGCTGCGGCCCTAAATAGGTCAGATGAAGTGACATTAAACCATTTTCGCAGGTTTCTGAGCCAGGATATTCTTCTCCTTCCAACAGATCTTTTTCCTACAATTTTTCCCTGGATTATGAGTTGCAAAATCTCATACCTGGGCCTCTCATGATATGGCCGAGATATTGCAATTTTTTTTTCACTTCCTTGAGGATCTCTACGCCCTTCCTCATTCTCAGAACCTCCACGTTGGTTACATGTTCTGTCCATGGTATTCTCAACATCCTATGGTATGTCCACATCTCGAAGGCATCCAGTTTCCGCTTGCAAAGCTCGTTGAGGGTCCAAGCTTCCATACCATACAAAATCATCCCTCAATATCATAACATTTGAGCATACGAGTTCTCAGATCTAGGCTCAAATCGCGGCTACAGAGCACCTTCTTAATCTTCACAAAGGATGCACGGGCCTTCTCAATGCGAATCTTTATTTCTGAACAATAATCCGCGGTGCAGTCGACACTTGTACCCAGGTAGTCATACCCCTCTACTCTTTCGAGCTCCTCGCCTTCCGCGTACAGATGTTCATTGGGCACTCTGGTCTTCTTAACATTGAGTGTCAGACCATATTCTCGACTAGTTGTGATGACGTTATTTAACATATTCTGAAGGTCTTGCATGTTTTCAGCGAGAAGGACTGTATCGTCCGCGTAGCGCAAATTGTTCAGTGGTATGCCGTTAACTAGTATTCCACCAGCATCATTTTCGAGGGCTTTGTTAAAGATTTCCTCTGAGTAGACGTTGAAAAGGAGTGGTGAAAGAACACATCCCTGTCTAACTCCTCGTTTGATATCCACTGCTCCCGTCGTTCAGATTGGACGCGAACAGACGCACTTTGATTAAGGTACAGATTTAGTATTATTTGTATATCTCTTGTATCGATATTTTTTTACACCATAATTATAAGAGAATAATCTACCATCTCGATTACTAAGTAAATCTAAACAGTGGGTGCCGAGCCACAGCGGCATCCAAGGCAACGAAAAAGCCGATGAGCTAGTTAGGCAAGGATCATTGGCATCCTATCTTGGTCCAGAGCCAGTACTGGGAATACTCAAATGCACTAAAGCTCTGGATCAAGGAAAAACAGAATGTCCACTGGAAAAACAGACAGGGGCACAGGTACAGCAAGACCTTTATCCAAGGATCAAGCTCTAAAACCACAAAAGAATTGTTGATGCTTATCAATATCATCCCTCAATATTAAGAAAGTCTTTGCTGCAGACTCTGCGATAAAGATCCTGAAACAACGGAGCACATAATATGTCACTGCGAGGCTCTGAATCGCAAGCGACACTTATTTAGGAAAGCTAGGCTAGAATCGGAAGAACTATGCTCCAATCCTATCAAGGACCTACATATGTTGGTGCAGGGTACAGGAATAGGAGAATGGGTGCAGAAATAGAAAGGGGGCAAACACAATAGGCCTCACAGGTCGCAGTGTTTAAGGCAGAGCAGAGGACGGCCTTGTTATTGGAAAAAACAGAAATCGAAACAGTGCACAAAAAAAAATATAATGATAATATTATAATATTATAATATAATGTGGTGTATAATAGTATATTATTCAACGAGCATATTTATAATGGTTAGTTTAGGTTAGTTTGGTTAGGATGGTCTATGACACTCGCGTGCGGCTCGTGTCATAAACTTCATCCGCGTGAATAACAGCCATTATATGAGAGTAGAATAGTATACTTTATCCAGGACTATCAAAAAATTTAGATAATATTAATATAAGTTTTTATTTTTAAAAAACAACTTTTGAAACCCCCCACAGATGAATGCAAAAAATAACATTGAAAACTTCAAATTTTTAAATCGAATTTTAGAGTAGAAAATGAGGGAATTTTAACATTGTTTCTTCATAATGGTGTTTAATAATTTTTTACATGGTGTACAACAAAAAATATTTTAAAAATCTCGTAACAAGAAATACAACTTTTGAAATACCCAACGGATGAATGCAAAAAGTGACACTGACAACTTCAAATAGCTCTTGTTTGGAGTTTGGATCGAAATATCCGTGGAAGCGGTAAACAACAAAACCATTATTCACTAGTGAATAATGAATATTATTATTATTTCATAAACTCATGTATAATAATCAAATTATAGACGAGTCGTGGATAAAGTATTTTATTAGTAGAATATGTTGCCGTGCAATTGCCTTGCCTTGCTTGCAAATGAAACAAAATGGCACACTTCGT